ATGCATGGTCGGCTACTGCTGCTTGCCTGCCTGTCCGCCCGGTTGCCGAAGAAGAGGCTAAGTGTCGAAGAGCAACACTGAACTCTTTGTATTCTCAAGTACAGACTTTTCGGCGCCGCCAGCACTGAGTGTGTATGTACGCGTCTGTGTATGAAAACGAGGTGGCGAAGAAAGGCGCAGAGAGGAGAGGGAGAGAGACAACTGCCTCGTTGTTCAGCTGAGGTGACCGATCGAGGACTTCCGTTGACATTACACCACTTCTGCGGATAGATCCAGAGAGTGTCGACAGACATGTGGACCTTCATGCACCGCCGCGGAGGATAGCGCGGCTCTGAGCGTCACGAGACACAAAGTTCCACGACGTCTAATGGAGATTACGGATGTCGACTGATACGACATCGCATGCTCACGGGGGAGAATTTCTGCATGAATGAAATTCCACGAGCGTATCGCGACGAAGATATCTGGATACGAACCCTCGCTCGAGGTTGCGTGGAGACCACTGCCTGCGCACGTTACGGCGCTGGAAACGTTCGGACGGGGTGTTAAGTCAGTGCGATCATTGCTCGCCTGACAATGGTACTTCTGTACCACGCCGCGCCGTCTCTAGTAGAGGGTGCAGCCAGAAAATCGGCATGAGATTCGCTGACCGTACATTTTCCATGATCATCTCGTTTGATGCATTTGCGGAAGTCGATACCGCGTCTTTTAATTCGCCCCGAACCCAATCCTAACGAGAGCTCCAATCGTTAGGGTCCCCAAAAATCACCGCATCACATAAAAGAAAAAATTCACTGCGACGAGGAGGCTGCGTTTCCTGCCGCACCGCATCGGAATGCCCTCGAGTGTTTTGATGCAAAACGAGACACAATACTACGGCTCGACATCTCAATCGGAAAAATGAAACCTCTCGGAGTGACTTACGGCTTTCTTAAGCCCTTTCGCGGATCAATCGACGATCCTGGACACAAACGAAGTGAAAGGCTCAGAGAAAAAAAGTCCACTGAGCAAGACCCTGCATACAAGCCGGCGAGAGCGGGGAACATCGGATAACGCGTACCAAATCGAGTCAGTGAATAAGTTTGCTCTGGTGACAGGCATATCGAATGAACGACCTTCGTTCGAGCTTCGCAAACACCGCAGTGAGAACCAATCTGTAGTCCCGAAAAGGAGAAGCAGCATTATGTCGTCCGAAGATAAATTTATGTACCCTCGGAGTACTTGGTGAGGCCGCGTGGCCGACCATCGGTGATTCACTCACTCTCAGTCGAATCAGCCCGCTGTGAATCTCGCAGCATGGAACCTCGTCATCGAGTACTTGAGCTTTATGGTGAGATGAGGTGCGGAAAGACAAAACGGCGCACATTTTGCTTAGCCCAGCACACATATGCTCCATTCCATTGAATCCATGAGCATACCGAGCCATAAAATCAATCAAGCGATTGTTAGCGTCGGGGATGATACCCTCGAGTTTCCACCGGACGAACGATACTTGCACCTTGCTGAGAGCGATCGGCCGCATTGCTTGGAGCCGCGTCGTGAGGGCCATGGTGTCGATGAGAATATTCCCACCGATCGGGTATCGCTGGAGAGCGAATCAAAGCGCACCGGGATCGGTACATAGGTACGTCTTTTATTGAATGGTTCCTTTGAGGACATGGAAGTCCACAAAAATGAGTGAGCTCCATCCCGGTTGAGGATGACGACAACTCTTTCTGAATGCACTTGACTTGACCGATTGTGAGAGACGCTTATTACTGAATAGGCTCTCGAGAATTCCGTTAAAGTTGAACGGAGTCAATTCTAGCGCGATCATGGTTTTGGAGGAGTCGGCTCGGAGCTCCCGTGTGCAGCTTGTCCCACAATTGATCCCACAAATAATTCGAAACCCCATCGTAGGACCTCGGACTCGACACTATCAGCTACGTTCACGGAATTTATCAGTAACCTCGACATGGATTGCTGTCTCCTCGCCGACACCGCATTCCTCTATGGAGCGTTCTGAGTCTCACGAGACAAATTGACACTCGACTGGAAATTGGAGATCCTGGTGCCCTCGATGATTGAGAATCGAGTTGCGGTCGGCCGCCAAGTTTGCAGGATGAAGTGTGTTCAGTGACCTGGCGTGTTGTCGTTATCGTCCCAGCCAACCACAGAATCGATCATCATAGCCTAGCCGTATCTAACCCACTGAGTGTTTGAATGTTCAGCGAGGCGTCGCTCGACATAAGGCACGCTTGCTTACTGGAGTCAGCCTCTGGGAATTAGCTTCTTTTCCTGACTGAGTTTGCTGAGCCGCCAACCACCGACCAGTCGGACGATCCCACCAACCTCCCTATATGGGGAATGGCCGACTTCGGAGCCGAACCCCAGTCCTAGTCGAGCGAGCTGTCCAAGTCTCAGTCGAACCGAGCGACCGTCGGCCGGAGGACGGACCGACGGACGGACAGAGAAGCGACCGACCGACCCCAACAGTCTACTTATGCATGGCTAAGCTAGACACGCCAGTCGGGGAAGCGGGCCACGGGGATCGGGATGCGAGGGGAAGAATACTCCTCGTCATTGTCGTCGTCAACTCCCCATCTCGTGCCTTTCAACAGTAAGTATGGGGAACGAAGCCCTAAGAGGGAAAGCTCCAGCAGGCAAGCAGGGCAGACACAGCACTCCCTCCTCTCGTAGCCACTGTCGATGTATGGGTGTGCGTGCAGGCGCGTGCGGGAGCGCACACATAAAGGAATAGGACGGGCGAGGAGGAAGACGGGTGCCCGTCGGACCCATTCCCCATTATCACGAGTCTTATAATCGTCAGTGCCGCTGGTCATAGGGAGCTGGTGGAAAATCATATCCGGCACAAAAGAATTGCGACGGAGAGGGGAGCGCTCGAGGTTGGCGCTGGAGAAGCCGGCGATAAGCCCCGAACTATCGCTGGCGAGAGTCGACGTCTGCTGCTTGTGCTACATTCAGAGGATCTCCGAAGAACAAACAGGGGAACGAGGCCGTGGTTCAGATATCTGGTCATGGGAGATCTCAGACGATATTGATTGAATGACCCCCGCACGAGAGGGGTTGCCTTATTCCAGATCCTCGAAAATGAACTCACAAGCAGCCATCAATGGAGCGAACTATCGATATCGCTCCGCAGACCGATGCACGAAAGTTTCCAATCGTCGCCCACTTCGAAGCATCTGTGGGGAGAAAGCCCGCGGAAACGCCAAAGCTTTGATTTTAATTCTACCTCAACCCCATCGGCAGCGGGCTTGACTTGCAAACCGCCGATAAATATTTTTCCGCCAACTCAAGCGAGCTTCTTTGATATTCGCCAGGAGCTCCGTTGAAAGAGGAAGCGATCCGGAGGTGCCCGGAACCAGTCGGATGATGACTCCACCTACTTCATCTCCCGAAAGACGAGCTCGAATCGGAAGGCCCTCGCCATGAGAGCTCTGCACTCACCGCGGATTTGATTGAAATCCGCAATGCTCAGCAATCATACGCGAGCGGGCTCCATTCAAACAGCGAATCCTCAACTTCTACGAGCTGACGACTTCTCTCACACCTCGCACGCAGAAGAGATTATTTTGGAAAGCGTCCGCTCTAGCGAACATTCATGTTGACGAGCGCATGTCCCGTGAGGATTCTCCTTCCAGCGTGGAGTGAGTCCGTCGCAAGGTACCAGACGTCCCTCACGATGCTTGCAGCTGCTTCCTCAGTAAGTTAGAATCGATTATTATCACACCCTCAGGATGTTGCACATCCCAGGAGAATCTGATGTCAGACAAAGACCCACGCCACTCGAACGTCTTAGTGGGCATAAGACAATCGAATCGAAATTTCGTGACAGATAAGAGATGGCCATGAAACTCCTGAATCGCGTAGAGTCGTAGAGCATCTGAAAAAGAGTCGGGGAATTATCGTTCTTGTTATCAGGGAACTATGGTTTTCCTGCCAGCTATTCGGCACGCGATAAATTCCGAGGGCTCTCATAGCGAGATATCCTCGCCTGAGCACTCAGACGGCCCATATTGTGTAGCGGACGCTCGCTTACTCGCTAAATCAGGTGTAAGAATCCATCGCGAAGTGCGCGAATCTGCCGGACGGAATGTCTCGAATAACATCGATATGTTATCTGCTTTTCCGTTATCGCGGGACTGGCGAAATGGCGGGATCTCCCCGGGAATCCAGATTGCATCTATCGAACCAATTTTGATGGGAGCTGCGGCCTGGGATTCGACTTCCGTTTCGAGAATAGCGGAGCTCCGCCGACTCCGCCGATCATGAGCTTTGGAAGGAGCATCCTTGATTCCCTTCGTGGGTCGCTCCTCTACGTTGAGGGAAACGTCAATGATACTCTTACGCCTCCGAGAGCCTCCCGAATGGGACTTTTCGGTGGCCAGGTCGATGTTGAGCGTGGCCAACCAGCGACGACGACGAAGACGGCCGGGGGTTTGCTTCGGGAACAGCCTTACCACCCGTCCTGTCTCACAACGACCCTGCCGCTGCCGCCATCGTTGGAGTTGAGCCTCTGAAAGCAGCGAGTTGGCCCCTTCGTTGCCTCCCTGTCTGTCTGCCTGACTGCCTCCCCACCCGACTGGTTGGATGGCTGGCTGACTGGCTCGCAGCCTGCTTCCCTGCCTTCATCGCTCCCCTAACTCGCCTCTCTTCGCCTTCTGAGGGCGCACACTGAAATCACACAAAGCCATCGGATGACGATGAGGGAGCCGGCTTGCACGCTCGCTCGCTCGTTTGCTCGCCAGCAAGCAAGCCAGTTCCTCACTCACTCACTCAGACTCACCCCTCCACTCAGCCCGATGGTCCGCCTCCCCACCTCACAGACTCCGCCTCGGGGTTATAACTTAGCGAGATCCAACAGCCGACTCATTCAGTCTCGAACCGCTCCGCGAGCGAACGAAAGGACCAACGGCACCATTGCCCTAGTGTACAGTCTGGCTGCAGCTCGTCGTCGCTTGACAAGTTTTTCCCGAGTCGCTCGTAGCGAATTCAAAATGGAAACCTCTACCAAGGACAGTTCCAAAACCCTCTTCCGGCCTTGGGACGGCTCCGATCTCGTGCGTCCGAAACCCGTCGTGTCCACAGGAATCGTCCCACCCATCTTGCCGGCAATGACAGGATATCAGTCGGAGCTGCTACTGTCGGAGCTCTGGCTCGCCGAACTCGATCGCTCTGTGATGCTAGCCGCCGGAGTCGAGGCCGCGTCAAAATTGAAGAAACCCGCGGTGCAAAGACCGAAGAAATTCCAGTGCCCACATTGCGATGTTTGTTTCTCGAACAACGGTCAGCTCAAAAGCCACATCCGTATCCACACCGGAGAACGACCCTTCGCTTGCGAACACGACGGATGTGGGAAAACTTTCACAAGGAATGAAGAACTCACCCGACATCGTCGCATCCACACCGGACTTCGTCCTTTCCCCTGTCCAGTTTGCCAGAAACCCTTCGGACGCAAGGACCACCTCAAGAAACACGTCAAAACCCACCAGAGGATGGTACCGCCAGGTCTGCCCTTCTACTCAAATCCATTCTGGTAGGAGAATGTGATGATAGGACGGGGAGTTCCTACGAAATTTTGCAAAAGCGCACCACAATCATCTGCTCAGTCGCACCGCCGACGCAAACGAATAATGTATATTGTATATATGACTTATTCTGGGAAGCACGCAGAAGCAACAGCGAGAAAATTCTCTAGCATTTTTCTCAAAACCATGTGATCTACTCAGCCGGTATGTGAAAGGTAATTTACAATGAAAGAGAGTCAAACTTGGGACAGAGAATCGTCTGACGTGTCGGTACTCTGATGGAGAAACTATCGCATTCGAGCGTCAGCCACGCTCGCAACGGAACTGTAAACTCATGTAAACCGAATGTGGGAGTTCGTGTGAGTCGATACGACCCTTCGAAATTCCGCGAGTCCCGAGAAAAGAACCCAAATTATTATTCGGGAGACCGGATGCAAAAAGATGATTGCAAAGTAATTTTAACATAATAAACAATATACTATGTTTGAATTGAAAGAGAAGCCCTGATGATTTAGCCCCAGCGAGATGCTAGAGCAGACGACCGCCTTGACGTCCTGACGAATTCACCACCATTGGGTTTCGACTTATGCTTCCCGTAAATGATTTCTCTCCATAATAAGATGGGGAGCACCTGATCCGCGCAGAATCAGTGGATATTCACTGAACACATGGTGTTTGGAAACCTCACAGGACAAAGGACGAAGATGACGGGCATATGAGCTCGTTCGAGATCTACCTACTCAATTTGATTTCACCTCAGAAGGCGGGAAAAAGGATTGCTGCATCGCTTCCTTTATCTGCATCCTCCTCGGGGCTCTGGGAAAGGCTTTTGAAATTATGATGCACTCCATAATGGACCTTCCCGGAGAATGAGTCCCGATATCATTGCGGAGGAGGTTACGCAGGGTATGCTCAAAACCCATTCATTCGGAAGACGGACCAGAGGAATTCGACCAGAGCCGGTACTCGACGACAGAGGAACGTCTTTCGAGAGTCGCGTCGCAACACCACGCGCGAAATATTGATTCTTAGTGTAAGAGATGAGCCCCTGATCCGCGCACACCTCAATTCAAAGCCGTCTCCTCCCGGACACCCCGGCGAATTGCGAAGCTTGACGACGGCAGAAGTCGACCCGCTTCGGAACTTTCGGCTCGGGGTGAATTCGCTTCATCTCTTATTATTGGATCTTGAAAGACGTCGATGTCTGAGATGATCATGAGCCGAGAAATCCTCTCAGGCATCTCATCCGTCGAGGAAGTCTCAAGAGTGATTCTCGGAGTCAGAATACCGTGATCGATCAATTGGCATCCCAAAAGCAAGAAATTCACTCGTAGATCTGGGATCCTCCTAGGTGATGTTTTCCCGTCGATAACGAAATGTGTGCTCTGTACGGAGCTATACAATATTTGCGCTGCCCTCGTTGGCCGTTTAGTTGGAGCAAGTTGTACTTGTTCAATCTGGTCTACCACCTTCTATTCATCGCCGTCAGTCTGAGCGAAGTTCGATACCACGCTAACCCGAGAAAACCTATGCACGTCGTCTCATTGGTGAAAGACTCGCTTTTAGTCTTCTTCCACGTCCTCTGCTGTCTCGAGTTCATCCTCGAGGACCTGATCGATGCAACAACAGCTGAATTAAATCAGCTGCGCGTTTTGATACAGAGACTCGACTTTCTGGGCCATAGCCTAAAGCTATTGCTGCTCCCGCTTGACATGGCTCTCGATTTCGTTTCGTTTTGCGTCTATCCCGACATGATATTCCTCTTGAGTTTGCTAAGAACAACGGCAGACTTCGTTGCTAACTCATGGTGCACCAACATTCCTCCGCCCGTGGTGTTCAACGAAATGGAGCTCCAGAGGCATTCCTTTGGAGGAGGTGACGTGCGTACAGTCATCTGAAGCTATCAATATGATAGTCTGGTTAGCGGCTCGGAACGAGCGAAAAATTCGATTGTAATAAAAATCATTGCGGATTGCGATGTCCGACGAGGCGCTCGCCGGCAATCAGGTGCGTAATTGATCGGGGACGTCTTCGCCATCCATTCCACAGAGATCCAATGAAATGGAATGGATCATGTTGCAGAGGGAGAAATCATGCGGACACGACAACTGCACATGATCCTGACTTATTGCGCAACTCGATTCCACGATTACATTCGTTCCTTCGCTCGCATCCCAGCATGTCGAACACAGTGGTTAAGCTATTATTTATCAGTTTCCGAGTCGGTCTCTGTTTTGTTCTTGTTGCGCTCGGCGATGCTGCCTGTTAGATTCGGATCATTGATGATCAGAAATTCGGTGCTCTTCAATGCCTGTGCGCGCTGCCGCTTCAAAGACGAATCGGCACAAAGCTCATTGAGTACGCGACGCACTGCTGACTACGAGGCATTCGAATGGCCGAGCCACCGACTGATGCGGTTGCCGCTCGTCGGAAACGCATCAGCTCAACCTCCGCCGAACTGGTCGCAGCAGCAAGTGGGAGCGCGGGCGCAAACTGGCGCAACCAATTTCAAAATTTCGCGCGCTCCTTTGTAAACCGTTGAGAGAATCCTGACGTCAAGCCGAAGAAAACCTTTCCTGGTCCGCATTGTCGATCATTGTACAGTGGTATTGCTGCTGAGATGCTAACAATGGCGAACAGCGGGAAGCTGATCATTTTCACCTATTTATTTCATTGGTCTTTTATTGGTCGCTGCTGAGAGCTTCTTGAGAGGGTGCAGCCTGAAAGGCGTTTCGACTTTCAAGGGTCGATCATGCAACTACGAACCGTTGGAGATGACAACGGGCATTGAATTCAACGAGATGCCAACGTGGAGTTTGATATTTCGGAACGGCATTTCCGTGATTCCCCGTGCGACGCCGGACTCCATTCGGACTTGACCGGGAGGAGAAACTTATCCGGGAATCCCTCATTCAAGGAGAGCTCCCAGCGAAAACATCCCGAGATCTTTTCCCGGATTCTTGAGCCTCGGAGCCGCATAAAAAAACCGTAACCATACTCTCACTTGGTACACCCACTCATAATTTTCACTACTCGCTGCAGGGCTGAATGAACGTAGAAATCGAGAGCAGCCAAGCCCACGCAATTGTCCTCTGGGAAATTCGAGGGCTTTTACAATGGAACTAAAGGAGCTGAAGACCTACATGTTTGCTCGTCTTTGTAGACGAGCGGCTCTCGAGATCGGTAGCAACGTATTCGCCCGCTCGCTCGAGCCGTTCAACTTCACACTTTGGCTCCGCATTCCACTCTACGGCCAGCGTTGTTGACGTTGTATTATTTATCGAGACTAGAAAGCCGCGCTGTCGCTGCCGCGGCGGCACGCCGGCCGCTGATAGATACGTGTACAATGGCTCGGAAGAGCAGCGAGCCATGCTTGAGGAGTCACTTAGCCAGCTGCAAAACTCGTAGCGTTTTTCGCTGCGACGTTGCTGTTCTTCTCGAGCGACAATGACAACAATGCTTGAAGAGACTTTAGTTGAGTAATATGGCAGCATGAGCAACACACCTGCAAACCTTTCCTCAAGTACTCAACACTGCTGCGTGATATTCATGCGCCACAGCTCGAGCTATCCTCTATTATTCATTTGAGATTCATCGCGTTCGCCAACATGTCATTCTGTTAGGGTATTTCTTTTTCGCTCCGATGCATCAAAGGTGTTCGGGCGGCTACGGCTCTTCTGCCGGTATCAGAAAGCTCTTAGTTTATCCCCTCTGCAAATACTGTATGACAGAAATCGTGGAATGAACTGGGAATTATTGTCGAGCTCTCTCGGGGAGCTCTGGGAAGAATCTTCGTGGGTGCGGTCTGCCCGTCGCAAGCGTGTGTATCTGGTGGAGGATACTGCTGCGGATTGCGCCCTAACCTTAGGCTTTATCGTTCCCCGAACCAACATCGAGCGAGTCAGTTTCGGGCGGCAGCCGCTGAGGCAGAGAAGTCGTCTGCAACGTTAGTCACCCGTCGAGTTCCTCCTCGTTGAGCCTCCTTGGCTCGGAGGGTATCCTCCGCTGTCCCTGCCCATTCCCCGCTCGCTCCCTCCCTCCGTTTTCGTCCCTGGTGCCGCTGTCTTCTTCCTCTTCGTTACTACCCACTCCCCGCGTCCCCTATTATGTGCCCACATCCACCCCACCGGGCGAACGAGGGTGCTTGACGGTCGCTGGCTCAAACATGTTTGTGAGCACAAGTCCCCCGATGGAAATTCTTTCTTCGGACCGGAGTGCCCATAATGAATTTTCGAGCCTGAATCGGAATTAGGGCAACGGGATTCACGCTCATGGGATGAGAGCTAGAATGAGGACTTACCGAGGTCGAGCATTAGGCAACCGACTTGAAGATAATCTAGAACCTCCGAAAATCTTGCTCGTAGATTTTGCGGGAGATGGACAGCCGCAGCTCGAAAGTTGAGCGTCGAGCGTGGTGGCTTCTCTCCAACAACATTACGAACCTGCAAAGCGCTGCTTTCATCCATGGCGGGGAGACATAAAGGAAGCGAAGGGGATTCTCCTCAGTCACTCCCTGATGACGTCATCCAAACGAGACTTCTCAAAGGGCTCGCCTGCTTATGAGACCGAGAAGCTCCGCTAGCGGGAATGTGTCTGAGCGGGGGTTTGCGTTCCTCCTCCGTCTACCCACTGTTGAAAGCCTGACTTTCGTTTTCCCGGCTCTCCATTACCCTCTTTGGCTTGGATGTGGACACTCGCTCTATATTGTGTTGCATCCACAAGCGGACCAGCCGGGTCGGCCGCGGACCGGAGCCCACAGCGAGCCCACCAGTGACCGCTGCCGGGAAGCTCCTCTCGGAGCTCATCGAAGGAAGAAGAGGAACGCTTCTCGCGTGCGTTTTGCCGCAAACCAAAATGATCCCTTTATCCCACTCCCGGGAATCGCTCACTCACTCAGACGAGGAGCAACCCCGAAGACTGCCCGAGCCAGTGCTGAGGCAATATTCACTCCCATTCATCCATGAGGAATATCCCCGCGAGGAATCGTAGGCCAACAGAGAGTGTCCCGTATC